AGAATAAATCAGTCAAACAAGCCTGATCTGCAACATCAGTTGGCTTTATTGATAACTTTAAAATCTTCTGGAAAAAGAGACACCTCTTGAAAAAAGATGGATTTTACCAGATTTTACCTATATAGTCCCAGAGCATATATACTGATTGAGGGGTTAGGGCAGAAATTCGGACATGTGCATGGCTGTAGCACTGTTACATTAAATGTAACATTTGCCCCTTTCTTAAAAAAATATATACAGACAAATAAAACTATTTCAAAGAGGACCTTCCATTTTGAAATTGATTATATTTTTTTTTATTATATCTAACTTGTGATTTTTCGTCAGTGTGAGGAAGAGGCAACAAACCTGTGGAACCAGGAGCCAGCCTCCTGGATGCCCTCTGCTGGAGAATAAAAAACTAAACCAGTACAGCAAAGCAAAACAAAACCAACACTATTTCTTGACAAAAACAGGTCAAGGACAGAGTTATGGACATGTTTAAGTTTATTGAATTTATAACATATGCCCAAGGCATTTAGATATACAAAAATTATGGCTGAGCTGCAAACCTGTGAAAGATGGCTCATCTAAACTGAAAAGCTGGGCCAAGGAGAACATTGATCCGAGAATAGATCAGGGGTTTCAGGTAGGTCTTTAAGACATGGACATTCAACTTATTATTAAGAAAGAAAACAAGAGAGCCTCTGTTATAACATTGTTATTTTTTTACTTCCGCAGTGAGAGGGAAGCAGAAAATTGTTTAAAAAACGGTGCGTAAACTTTTTAAAATCTGAAAAAAAAAAAAATAAAATGAAGACAGAGGTTTATGATTCCCCAGAACTTGTAGATTCAGACCAGGTGTGAAAACGACCCATATTAATCATTAAGTTTTGACTGTTGGGCTGCTGACTGGACCGGACCTCAGCAGAGAGCCACGAGCCACCCGTCCTCAGCCAGAGGAGGGGGGCTGGAGGTCGGTAAGGTAGGCGGGGGGAAGCACAGGGCCGCCTGTGTCCAGGCTACCGTCCGCCGGGGTTCCAGGACCAGCCCCGCAACTGGCGGCTCAGTTCGAATGCCTGGTGTGTTTCGACTACATACTGTACTGCACTTTAGTCGACCAAAATCCCGGACGATTTTGAAATTCCCCCTGTACACCTTTTTAGGTATGAAAAGTGGAACATGTCCAGGAAAAGGAGGAAGTATGGTTACACTACCATATCAACAATTTCAATGTTTCAGTGAGTGGGTGCTTGTTGCTATGATGCGTCTTTGCTCTGCAGCTTCGCTCATCGTTAACCAACCAATCAGCGCACAGCGCATCTAAATATTCATGAGCATACCATAAAAGGAAGAAAACCTGTCGTTTCATCCTAGGGCTTTTAACCAGGCTTGAATTAGGGCTCATTGAACAGCAAATATGCCATTTCAGCCCAAGCAATGTTACACACCCTATTGAGAGACCTTAAGGACCAGCACCAAATACCCTATAGAATCATTCTATGACCCCTTTAAGAAAAAAAACATGCAAGGTGTAATTTAACTCTTCATGAAACAATACATATTCACATATTACTTTTTGATAGCTGTTCAGTGGGAAATATTAAAATCTGTGGAATATATGGAATCTATAATTCAATCTTGACAGTCACAAAGGTAGTTGTGAGCTAACCACTCAGTAACACCTCTCCACATTCTCTTTACCAATTTGTAAAGATCTGTACAGTGTAAGAGGGAGATATGCCGGCAGCAGCAAAAATGTGCATGAAGAATACTGTTGACTTATGCATGAATGACTCTGTTTCTGCAATGCATTGTATTGTAATGTAAATCCAAAAAGCAAAAAATCTATCGAGATTAAAAGCAGCATGACCATATGCTTTTTCAGCATAGTAGATCAAAAGGAAGATACAAGGCAGCATACTCCTCCCAGGCTTATTTATGTAATGTGACTGCCCAAATTCTGAAGTGGTGAGAAGTGGCAGAAGCTGGGCCTTAAGAACCAGATAATAATTAAAGACTGTAAAAAATGCAGAGTTTGACCAAGAGATAAACATTATTGGAATATGAGATGTTTGCAGCAAAGTAATAGGATATGGCAAAAATTTTGAATTACATATTTTACAACAGCAGTGATTACAGGAAAAGGATCATGTGAAGTTCTGGTGCAGAAGAACACCCATTAGCTTATTTTTTAGTTTTTATTCTGCCTCTATCTGGGCCATTTTCACAGTCTCTCAGGCTGAATTGATAGCTGTGCTAAATCTGTTGAAAGTTGGAGGATGAGTAGCCTCTCAGAGTCTGGCATTTTTGTTAAGATGTATTGCATCTCCCCACCAAGTGACAAGTGCCTTAACCTTAAATATCTCTTGAATCTTTATAATAAATTACAAGCAGTGCCAACCACAAAAATACCTTTCCTTGCAAAACTCTCCATATTGTACATGTTAGAGCCATGAACTTCCTTGTGTTTTTTTGGAGATGTATGCACTACACCAAGACAAAAACAATACAAAATTACAAAATGAAAGGGAAAAAAATTATAAAATTCCTTTTTACAAAATAAAATCAGAAAATGTGGTTTGCACTTGCATGCTGTGCTCCTTAACATACTTATATTTTAGAAATGCATATCAGCACCATAATAGATATAAGTCTTTTGTGGTTTGTCTTTACCAACACATCGACAGAGAGGTTCTATAAAGCCTTTACAGGTCTGCAGAGGATTCTAAGTTAGACGATGCTAAGTATCCTGTATTTAGTGCAATTTAGTGCCATCTATTTTCTTACGAACTCTGACCAGCTCCTCTCTCTGTGCTGAAGAAAAGCATTAACCCTGCATAATGCTCTCATCACCATGATTTACCAAGATAATTGTTTGTGCAGTATAATGCACAGTGTTGGTTTTCTACCACACATGGCAGGTTTTATGTAGATCTACTTTTTTCTCATCTAACTAAAATACCCTCTTCCACATGTTTATCTGTCTACATATGAGTTCCTGACAAATAAGAAATATTCATTCATTTTGGTATAATTCAGCCATTGTTTCCCCACCTCTATAAAACAACACATTTGCAGAATGCACAAAGAAAAGGACCATACTTATCATGGGTGCTTAAGCTGCTTCATTTATTAATATGCTTTCCTTGATCAGTTGGTCATGTCTCAGTAGATTGACAGTTACTTCATTTATTAATTATTATCTTTTTCAGTGTTAAGTGAAGTATTATAAGTTAAGATATGGTTTTATAACCTGACCCTAGTTGAAACATTTTTACAACCTTATACATGACCTGTTTGACCTTGCTTTGATACAGTATTTATGTGATGGCAATGTTTCCTCACCAATGCTCTCAAAATTCCATCCATCCATCCATCCATCCATCCATCTTCTTCGGCTTATCCGGGGTCGGATCTCGGGGTAGCAGCTTCAGTAGGGAGGCCCAGACGTCCCTCTCCCCTGCCACTTGGGCCAGCTCCTCCGGGGGAATCCCAAGGCGCTCCCAGGCCAGCCGAGAAACTCAGTGGGACATGCCCGGAACGCCTCACCAGGGAGACGTCCAGGAGGCATCCTAATCAGATGCCCTAGCCACCTTAACTGGCTCCTCTCGATAGCTCTGCTCTTAAAATTAGTTTTTATTATTCTATTTATGTTGGTAATTACCTACATTAAGTGGACTCCATTGACTAGATATGTGAATTAAACAATTTGATGGTTGATCTGAAATGTTTCTCTGCTCTAATATGAAAATGCTGCTCTGTTGGTAACAAGTAAATGAAGTTGATCCAACTCATTTTTTTAATTTTTTTTTGCTTATATGTTGAAGATTTAAATAAATTCAAATGGGCAAACTTAATCCATTATGTTTTACCAGTTGAAATAATTAATTTAATTTGGGGCTGCAATTTATTCTTAGAGAGTCTCAAAGTTGAGTAATCTGAATGCATAAGCACGCCATCCATATTAGCCTTTCATTTGTAAAATAATAACAGCAAAAATGGGGCATAAATATAAATAGCTTTCATTGGACCTCACAGTTATTTGACACCTCACTCTGTCATCTAAAATACAAATGAAATCTTTTGACAAAATTCGAAGGCTTGGCAAAACATTGAAAAAAAAACATAAAGAAGTGGAATTGTTATGAATACTGCAATGGCCCATAAGAGTGAACCTACTCAGCCAGCCTATAGGTGACAAGAAAAACAAAAAGAAGAAAATAATGATGGACGTTTTCCAACTTCAGCCATACAACATGGAGCTGTCCGCTCAAGTGGGCGGTGCGCAGAACAGTTTCAGCACCACGTTGGGGTGAACAGCTCCTTGCATCTCCGAGACAACCTGACAGGCTTTTTCTGCTGGATCCGAGCTGCTCTTTGAAACAACTCACTTGGGGTAAAAAATGAGACTCTTTATCGCACTAAGGCTGCAGCAAAGTGAGCCCATATCTCCCATCGGGGAATCTTATAGCCTAAAAGAGGGAGGTGTTTACTTTGATAAAAGGACACTGAAAACTGAAGACGAGGTGGTTAGGATTAGTTGGGAAAAAAAAGTTCAACAGTTTGCAGGAGTAATGGCAAACAATGTCTTGTAAAATGAATAAAAGAAAAAACATGAGAAGACACGGACGTGTGTAAGGAGGATTGTTTGTGAGTTCCTCACACACAAAGTGGACGGGAGATATCCTCCTCTACCCCAGACCCATGCTATAACTGGGGCTGCAAATTTTAGAGCAGACAGGAATAAAGACTAGCACAGCATCCACTGACACACACTAACACTAATTGGAGAGAGAAAGGGAGAGAGAGATGGTGTCTTTGAGAGAGAAGTGAACTACTTCAACCTGCCTGCGCGGGAGCCCGATCTTTTCCTCTGGATGGATTTACCGTCCCTCCCACCACGCTCCGCAAATTTTCGTTCACAAGAGGGCTGATTGTGAAGCCAATCAATATAGAGCGGATGAGAATTGGAAAATAGGGATCGGGTTTTTTCTTTTTTTCTTTTTTCTTTTTTTTTTTTTTTGCTTTCCGACTTGCCTGGAGGGGAATGCGCACCTTCGGAGAATCTCTGCGTCCCTTGCTTTATGCTCTCCCTGAGAAGTCAGAATTGGAGCTGTCACAGCTATCGGCTACACTTTACTGGACTGGACAGTGTACTTGGCATTAGGAGGCGAGAGGGAGGGTGAAGAGGAGAAGGAGCGTGTGTGTATGTGTGAGTGGATGAATCCATCCTTTTCCTTTGGCACTCCACAGGCGCTCGTCCATTTATTCCAGCCTAACCGACGGACTGCATGCCAAACGCAGACTCTAGCTAAAGAGTTTGGTGAGTAAAGACATCCCATTCTCTCAATCAACTCTTTTTGTACCCATCTTCTTCAAAGAGTAAACGTAGCTATCCCACAGAGCAGTTTCATTCGCCTTTCCTCTAAAAATCTTTCATTTCTCAGAAGACTGGAGTTAGACGTTCGCACCTGCAGCATTCCCGTGCAGGACCGTGCAACATCTCGGATCGAGGCTGTGCGGGCGACCTTGTTTAATGGGCCCCAAACCCCGAGACCCCCCAGGAATGGCGTGTAGTGCGTGTTACTACCTGGTTATCAGCTCTACTCACCTGAGCAATGGACACTTTCGACGCGTCAAGGGTGTCTTCAGAGGACCCCTCTGCCCAGCAGGAAGCACTGACTCCCCGGTAGGAGAACATCCTGAGTGGAACATGTGCATGTTTTCATTGTCTCGTCTGTTCAGCTACTTGTTTCTACTATTAAGTAAAGTCATCTTCTTCCTTTTGTATTTGAAGGGTTAAAACTGGAAGTGTCATGTAAGGAGAACCCTGAAAATTGCAGGGTTTACTGTGGAAGCATCAAAAAGAAAATAGAGAATGGAATGGTTGTTGAATTTTCTGACTTTATGCTCCATCCTATTGTCTAAAAAAAGATCCATCAGTTTTTGCAGTTTGCATATGTTAGGAATCCTGTAGTGCCTTGAAAAATAAATAAAAGACAGACATTTAATGATCCAGTGTGACATTTAAAACATTTATATGTCCATATGTTAGGAAATTAGCTTTTGTTAAATATTTATTTATTATCAAACCTCTTGAGTTTTTATTTTTGTGCAAAATATTACTTCTTCCATTTCTATCATAAACAAATTTCTATGTCTGCAATATTTGTTATTGTTAATTAGTTTGTAATTTTTTTGTTGAAATTAATTGCTGTTATGAATATTTTTGAACAACTATTGTGGCATTGAAATAAAAAATATTCTTGTTGCATTAACCCATAACAACTTTTTTATCATACAAAATGGCATATTTAAAAGCTAAGAAGTAAAATTTTGATAGCTGTATTAAACTCAATAACCTGTGTTAGATTAAAAACCCTATAGAGATGTAACCGAGGCTTTTTAGCAATTAAGTTGAATGCCATAATAATAAAATTTAAAAAACAGCACTGAAAAACAGAATCAGCTTTATATTTGATATAATTCGGTTATTATTTCAGAAGTTAGTCATGTTGTTCTTAAATTAGAATAATGACAATAATAGTCTGAAATTATCTAAAAGTACTCAGTTTATTTTTTCTAACATAGATATCAAGCGTCTACTGTCTGCCATAGGTTCACAGTAAAAAATGTTTTATTTATAATTCAAAAAATATATATGCTTTTTTTATTTACTTTTTAAATTTCCTATTCCATCTACGACTTTCAGATGATGGAATGTAAAGTAAATGATAAATTGGAGAAGAAAAATAATATGATTACAAGTTGTTGGGAAAAAAAAAAAAAAAGCACAGAAAACTCTTTTAATTGGGGTGTTAAGATCTTAAAAGAGCCCAGCAAACAACTCGCTAAGAAAACACACAAAAAAAACTAAGAGCTACAGCTTTGGATCAACAAAGTATTTTTGAATTGAGATGAGCTGATTTAAATTGAATTAAACTATTTTCACTCAAGGAACTCCTCAAGTTAACTGAAGGTAGGAGAGATACGAAAAAGATTAAAAAAGCTCATCACATCCACAACTGCTGCAGGGTGGGTTAGAGTATTTTTGCAGGTAGAGATCATTTCATTTTCAAAGCCAGAAAATACATTTTCCATTTTCTTTCTTTTGGTGAAAGAGAAAAGATCATAATATTTTTCTTTTCAAAAAGAGGGAAAATTTGTTTAGTCAAGCATGAAGCCATTGTCCGGAAAAGTTTGTTTTCTCTCCTTTGGGAAATGAATCAAACCACATTATGTCTGCAAGGAGAAGAGATGAGTTAACCAGACAAAATAGGTCTAATTACCTCCAGCCTATTGTCTAGGTCTACATTGTTCGTTACGTGTATTCAAGAAAGAAAGAAATGTTTTTTTCCATTAATGAGAAATATTAGCCATAAATTTGCTTGCATGGATTCTACAGTCTATTTTACAAATCTATGTAGGAAATGTTAAAAGACTGCAATAAACATAAAAAAATCCTCATATTTTGAACTTTTATATTTAGGGTCGTATTTTTGTGCATGTAGGTGTGTGTCGTAGGTCAAAAAACTGCTTGGAGGGTCTCAGGTAATCACATATTATTCATGTGCTCTTAAAGTGCGGTGAGACAAACAGGCAAAGATAATGACAAGTTTCATGAGAACGGAGGAAAGAAGCAGCTGGTGTGTGCGTAAATGTGTGTGTGCATGCGCATGTGTGTGAACACTCGAGTTATTACCAGTCTGTCATGTTCTGCCCGCGCTGTGTGATGGGAATGAGCGAGTGGTGCAGAGCAGACGCACCCAGACAGGACACAGCAATAAGTCACATTCACAACCATCCCTGCAAACTTTAAAATACTTTCTCAAAAAACATGAACACACCAAAAAAAAGATATCCAGTTAGGCAACCTATGCATATCAACTCTTTAAATGCACACTCCAAAGCGCATCTCTCTCTTTCAACAAATTAGGGCCGCATGTTTGAATTTCATCATTCCTATCACCTATCTCAGGGCTCCTTTATCTTATAAAAAAACATCAAAAGCTCCTTTTTGGCTGCTCCTGCAACTGTGTAAGTCTCCTCTCAGCCTAATTTATCAGAGAAAGTCAAATTTCTCCACAGTTATGGCAGTGTGGCACATCTAAATTTAGAGATGGATGCAAAGTTTTCAAACAGTTTCTACACTAATTCCCAAGTTTATGGAAAGTTGTTTGAAGCCCCTTGATGCATGTTGGAGATGATGATTCACCTTAGATTTTCCACAGTTTTTTGTCAAATCTACTTTCAGCTCTAGCAAAGAGGAAGGTTTGCACTTGCAGAGCCTTTAAAGTATCTCCCCATGCCATTTGTCCAACATTTTATCAAGAAGAGACACTGAATATTCTGTTAATATAATTCAGTGAATCAAAGCCTCCCTCTTCTAAGAGGACTATCGATATGGAGGCATTGCATGTAAATTTGTAAGGCACCTTTCAGTAACAACACTATTTTCTGCTGTTCATAATGAAAACATACGAAAACACAGATTTAGTCTAATTCTGTTTCAGTTTATGGTTAAAATAAAGTAGTCAAATACAAGTCTAAACATTCTTGTGCATCGTGTTTGCTTCTGCTTCTGGGTATGCAGAGTAGACTTCAGCTAGAGGACCTGAATGGGTCAGAGTGTTTGATACAAAGATGAATATGTAGAGGTTAAGTCATGTTTTGCCTAATCTTCAAATATTCTAAATAAGGGCATTCAGATTATATGAGTAAAAAGAGAATTATGTTTGCAATAATTGGAAGTGTTGATTGGGCAAACTTGTCCTCTTTTGCCCTATTTAAATATGTACTTTAGGTGTGCTACTTGCAGTTGGTAGTAAAAGAATGATCAATTTCTAAGCAGGAGAGTTGGAATGATTTAATTATAACTATTAGAAAAAAATGTTTTAAAAAAACAAAAAGAAAGGAAAAATTTTCTAAAAAGGATAATAGTGATGGGTATTATTTATAGTGCATTCTATATATAAGGAGCATTAAGTAGTACAAGCAAAAATAGTGAAAAGATTGTATGCTGTTAAACTGATGTAACAAAAGTATTAAGGTAAAAGTGCCAATCAAGCAAAACCATTCAAGGAAGACTGCAGGGAGCTGCATTTCTAAAGATTCTCTCTGAATGTAAGGGTCTGTTCAAGGGCTGACCTTACTTTACTTTGCTGGACAAAAATTGCTGACATCCTGAAAGGGTGAAATAGGCTCAACTGTGTTTAACCTTCATTTGAAACATGGCATTCAAATAGAAATTTGAACACATTTTCTGGTGTTATTCATTTTAGGAACATCGAAAGACTTGGCAGAGCTAATGTAGCAAAATGCACACATAGGAAGTTTTTCAGATTTACAAAATGCTGGCTTGGTAGGAATGAAAGGTCAAACGGTAAAAGAAAAAAAGGTGCTTTCAGATTTATCCATATGAATGCACGCAAGGGGAGATATATGAACTTGTCAAAAATGATGTACAGTCTGTGCTTGTGGTCGAGCAGTCGAAAAGTGAACCGTGTTTTAGGTGAGGTGAGGAGGAGTGATTTTAAAGCATCTCTTGAAGGCAGTTAAACATGCTGAGCAGCATCTTTTTGCTGCTGTCGCTCCCATTCTGGAAACTGCCACAACAGCTGGTTGCTCTTTGATTTGGCAAAGTACAAAGCATCCCACCTTTATATATATATATATATATATATATATATATATATATATATATATATATATATATATATATATATATATATATATATATATATATATATATATATATATATATATATATATATACTGGGCACCAACAGCCGCTGAAGATCAGCCCCATTCTAACTATTTAACATATCCTACTGGGTATGTTAAAAGTGCTCCGTTTTGTTATGTAGTTATCTTCCCTGGAGTATCCTGTTCTTCATCAAGGACAGGCTTTTTTGCTCATGACTACTTTATCACCACTAATTAGCCTTTCTAATAGATTTGTGCAATAGATCTACATTTCTCATTCTTTTTGGATTTAGTTAGGGCTGGACAATGTCAGCATATATACCAATATAATTATATTCAGTAACAGTGATATGACACATTTCTGGTTGGTCTGTATCCATTGCAGTCTTTTGTTACGTCGCTTACCACTGACTCATGTTAAAGAGGAAAAAAAGGGATGTTTTATTGAAAAATAATTTGAGATCTGGTCTGTCTTCATTCAAGCAGCTTTCATTAATTGCAAGGGGGAACAGATACAGTCTTGCCAACGTTCCTGCCTGTTCTGGTCACACAGGATTTCACTCAATACTTAAGAAGCACAGAAAGAGATTATCACAGACAAAGTAGACAGTTTTCCACAAAACCAAGGATTTCTGAAATAACCTTGATTAAAGGAATCAAGCCTCTTACTAAAACATTTAAAACTGGAAAAAAAGCTTCTGAGGTGTCAGTAAGATAAGACCCACATTCAGTCATATCTGTAAGTTGAGCGAATACTTTTTTAAAGTAAGGAAAACAAAATCAGTGCTCATAATTAATGCTATAGGTGATGTGATAGGAAATAGATTTTTTTTCAACCACGCTGACATTCCAGACGCAGGTGACTGGAGTCGAACCGAAAGAGCTGCAGCACATTAGCTAAGTGAGTGATGAGGTACAGCTGTAGGTTGTGCCACGCAACTGCTGTTCTCCAATGTGGTGAGATTTAGCAATAAAATGACCTGT